CCCCCCCCACCCCTCTTTTCTGCCTGTGTATACAACATTATTATTACACACATGGGCCTCCTCATCGAGTAGTTCAATTCTATGGTTAGCATGTGGCTGTAATTCCCCTTGGCTTGGAATATCGCAACTCATAAACAACTGGTGGGTATACTCCAGCATCAGCTGATGGCTTGTTAACCGTGGGCGATGGGTACGGTATAGTCAAGTTTGCAATAGATGGACTCTACTAGACCGTACGATCAAGGAGAACCCTGTACGCCAAATAAGCGTGGTGTTTTGTTCTCTTTCCAGAAAGGAGATCGGGTGAAAACGTTGTGGAACTAAACAAGTGTCATGCTTTGTTCTCTTTTTGAGAGAGCAGATCAGGTCCTCCCATATTTTCTCACTCTTTCAAGAGGGACCTGGAAAGGTTGGTTCTATGTCAAAAGAAAAGAAAAGAAAAGGAAAGAAAAGTTTGGTCCTATGTCCTCCAACCTACAATTCAAGCACTGACCTGATGAAAAGCTCTTAAGGGTTCTTTGCAAGGCAGAGAAGCTGGAAGGAACGAAAGTAGACATAGGGGTAATCTTTACCCCAAACCCTAAACCCTGAGGCTGTAAGGGTTCTTTCCAAGGGAGGAGCTGGAAGGAAGGAAAACAGACACAGGTGTAATCTTAGAGGTGGAAGGGGATGATATGTGGGGCTGCCATAGCATGGACGATATACAGCCTCGGATTCTGTAAAATTATAGCATAGTACTAGAGTAACTAGACTAATCACCCAGTTACCCCTTGTTCAGGTTCGTAACCAACCTGAAGGCCAGGCCTCACTGGAGCTATGAAAACATGAAGCTGGTCATGAGAATGGGCGGTGCCATGCTTTCTTAATGCGAACTAGGGCCATTAGGGCTAGGCCCAAGGTGCCATGTTCGTGCTTGAGAACATGAACCTGATCATTAGAATGGTCAGGTCCATGCTTGCTTAGCGCAACCATAGCACTAGTGGGACCTGGCCCTAACCTTAGGTGCAAGGACCAGGCTCAACTGGTGCTATGTTCATGCTCAGGAAGCATTAACATGGTCACAAGAATGGCCAGGCTCATGCTTTCTTAGCATGAACAAAGCACCACTGCAGTCTGGCCCCCTACCCTTTCGGGCTTGTCACTTCATTTGGGCACTGGATGCCAAAAATTGGTTACCGTGTTAGACCCTTGTCTTGTTCATGCAACATGCATGGAGAGTGCTCGAGATGTTGTTCACGCTCGTTTGGAAAATAACAATGCCCTGTCCCGTCGGCCATGGCAGGGAACCTGAAAGATAGCAAGACTTTGAGCATACGTGATTGAATGGGGGATTAGTAAATGATGGGCCAATTGCAACTACAAAGATCTTCTTTTTCTTAAATTAAAGATTCGGACCATTTTCTCGTTTTATGTGTGTGTCATCCTTGCGCAGGAACCATGCTCATAACCCTTCTCTGTACCGTTCCAATTTTAGCGGATGTCCCAAAGGACACAAAGATCTCCTAATATTCGCAGCCGAATTCGTTGGAGCCCTGGGAGCCACAACAACAACCTGGCAGCTCAGTCAACCCCCTCAGCATAACCTCTGCTCTCATGCGCTGTTCCCTCCAAAGCCCATCGGGTGGTGCAGTGCTGTAGGTGGTGCACACGGGTTCCTCACTCTAGTACCACTACTGCTCCCACACTATGTCCTCTCCTGCTACCACCGCTGTTCTTACACTGGGTCTTAGCCCTGGTACCAGTAATGGTTCTGGTACCAGTATTTGTCCCACACCAGTTCCCAGGCCTGGTACCATTACCGGTGCCTCGCTGCGTCCTGGACCTGGTACTGTCTGAGGCTGACTCCAGTTCTACACATTGGCACAGTCCTCTCTTGCCGCTCGTTAATGTGCCACATGTACGAGAGCACGCTGTGCATGAGCAAGCATGCACAAGGGTGTAAAGGTTCATGCCTCATGCCTCGATAACTAGACCACCCGATTGTGAGTAACGAGAAGAAAAGGAGCCTGGGGGAGGGGGAGGGGGGGCGGGGGGAGGGGGTCGGGGGGGCGTAAGGTAAGGAGGGAAGCAATTGACTGGGAGATTATGTTCACTGGGAACCTTAAGCGGGTGGCCAGATGAGTGCGCCGAGGAGGAGTGGTCAAGCGGCACGGCGCAGTGGTGGTCACTATCTTCAGGCTCAAGGGGGATCCTTTGTAGCCTCGTCAATTGCACCCAACAATGCCGATGGTGAGTCGGGCACTCCCGTTCCTTTGATAGCTAACTTGCCTGATGCTGCCGCAGCAGCTGTAGATAGGGACAAAGGTGAACCGGCAGCAGGTACTCAAGACATAGACCGTGATGAGAATTTGACCCTCCAGCTTGCCAGTATGGATGCGCGAGAATTCCAAGGTCCAATGTCCGGCTTCGAGGAAGCGGAACAACAGCAGCAGCAGCAGCAGCAACATCAGCAGCAGCTGTGGTCTGAGAGTCAGGGAGGAGAGAGACGAAGGAGTATCTCCGTTGGTCGATCTGTAGAGTCGGAGATGACGGCGGATATACTGATGGAATTCGTAGTGGAGAAACTGAAGCTCCTGAACTATGAGAAAGATTTCTGTCGTCGAAGAAAGCCCCCTTGGCCCCTGTTGCATCGTTTCTACTTTGCGATGCCCTCTGGAAACCCTAATGAGCAGTTTTTCTATTTTAGTAGCTTAGTTTCATGGCTACTTGGGCTTGCTGGCCGGAAGGTCAACCCTCCGGGCCAGTTTGATGACCCTAACGCCACTTGCATAAGCATCCTCGTAGAATTGAGAGATCTCGGGTTCGCGCAAGCGAGCTTTCCGCCTGCGAAGCTCAAGCAAGGGTATGGCGACCTCGTCTGCAGCATACTTGACGGCTTGGCGTCCTTCGTGCTGGAGAAGCAACGGTTTGTATTCCGCCCACCAATCCATCCGTCTGACGAGGGTATCGTTGAGGAGACTGACATCGATGTCACAGCAGATGACATGGCAGAGATCGCTGAAGAGATGGTTATTCCCGGTTTGGAGGAGGAGGAGCCCTTCATGCAGGAGGTTGAAAGGGAGAACGACTTCGGCATCTCAGGTGATGCAGAGGCAACCGCAGTGTTAGAGTCGAAGGTGGACCCCCATGAGTGGAAGCTTGAGCTCGAACGTGTGGGACCGCAACTCCGTGTAACGGCTGTTGCTGACGTGAAGGACTGGAGGACGCACCTGGACCAGACGAAGCAAATGCATGAGCAGATCACAAAACACCTCCCTGAGTGTAAATTCCAGCTGGAGAAAGTGGAGAGCGAAGTTGCATCCGCACTCGAGAAATTGGGAACGCGGGAAAAGTACATCAACACTCAGCTTGACCAACTGACACAAGAATATCGAGCCGTAAGGAACAGACTCTCCGAAGTGCAGGATAAGCACAACAAAAGCATGGTTAATGTGTCGGAGCTTACAAATGAGCTTGCAAGGGTAACGGAGGAGCTAGAGCGAGTGAAGAGGGTCATGGACGAGAGAGGAAACGACATATCTGACGCATCCCCCCTGATTAACATCAAGAATGCGATTCAGAGACTGAAGGCAGAGCTAAAGCAGATGGAAGTGCGCATTGGTGTTGTGGAGCACAACCTTCTTCAGGTGAACCTTAAGCAAAGGAACAAGGCCAACTCTGCAGGTCCTGCAGCAGACTCCTTTGAGACTGCCGATGCATTTCATTGACTTTTTCTCGTGTATTTAACTGTATGTAAGTGTATTATACATTCAGCTTCTACTTCACTTGTGCAGACTGCAGGGTTCCCCACTAGGAAAGTTTTTGTTTGCTGCCGGATGAAAAACATGCTGTCAACCTTCCTCGACTCTCTTGTCGCTGCCGAACAAAACCTGCTTAACAACGTCAGACAGAGTTGTTGAAGGTCTTTCAACGTCGTTGATGACTGGCCGAAGACGATACCAATCAGATTCAGCCAAGTGCAGAAGAGCTGAATACAAGGGCGATCAGATTCAGTCCAGACTCCAGTGCTGTGGAGCCCTGTCACTAGGGGTTCCACTTTAAAGTTTATACCCAACGTCACGTCTCTCTCAACCTGGCACTTCTCCCGCATCGGGTTCTAGTCCTTGTACAACCACTGGTCCAGCACAGAACCTGGTTCACGCTCAGCCTCACGTCACCTTGTAGATGGCACTTGTTCCCACACTTTTGGGTACGATGTTGATGTCAACCTGGCACTTGCCCTGCGTCATGTTCCACACCTTGAAGAACGACGGTCTTAACCCAAATAGAATGCCCGGTCATTATCGCATCATCTGAACTGAAACTGGCCCATATACGGACATAATGACCGGGTGTTCTATTCGGGTGAAGACGGTAGCACCAATCCACCACAGGACCTGGACTTGTAATAATATTGGTCCGGCACATACCTTGTTCTCACCCTTGTACTGGGACTGGGTTAGGTTCAATGTGATGAAGGGAGGTACATCATTTTTCAGCTTGATCTACAGTTCGAACCTAACCCTTCATCACAGTTCCTGCTAGATGTCACAGCCGCCTTTCTCTCACCAGTCGGTTTCTCACTTGACAGTGACAATCTCCCTTCAGAGTGTCTCTCCCTATCGTATTCCCTGAATTTCCCTCTTGATCCGGGAGTGCGTTCGGCTATGTTGCAGTTTTTTTTTCAAGCTTTTGAATGCCAGCTCTTGTAAAATAGAACTCTAAACGAATTCGTACGAATTCCTATCGCAGGTTTGGACGGAATCCGACGGATGACTAACACAGGTTTGAACTTTGAAGTTTGCAACCGGTTAGTCGAGATGTCAAACACCTTAAACGGATTATGACCCTCTTCACAATGATGGTAGAGGAGTAACCCTGTCGATTGAGATCGGTGGACGATGGTGATGATCTTAGTGGTCCGCTTCTGAGGAGGGAGATGAGGCGATGGCCATGTCCGGGATGGTTTTATCAGAGCGTCTGAGATTTCAACTCAGCATTGTTAATGTTCTAGTGTGTTGCTTTCACTCTAAGAAACTAGTGGTTTCAAATTTCACTGGTTACTCTGCAAGACTTCATCGTCACATCGAGATTCGAGACCCAGTGAGGCGATGTGACAACACTGGGAGTTTGCTGTGACAACACTGGGAGTTTGCAGCAGCCCTTTAGTTTGTTCCTTCTTAACTCTAGCATTCGACGTCACTCGTCTAACACCATCTTTGCGACTTCGTCCGACTACCTCAGCAACATGCCTTCGGCTGCTGCCATGGAGTGTTGTCCTGTGTGATCTGCACTTGCTTGATGTGTTACTTGACTACCGTCTTCTTGCGAATACGCCGAATAAAACGCCCGGTCATTCAAGCTGTATTTGGTGCAACTTTCAGTCTAGGTACAGTGATAATGACCGAGCCTACTATTCGGGTG